TCAAAATTTTATTAATCTTCATATTTAGTACAACGAAAACTCAGTGGAAGTGTTTGAGTTCAGTAAACAGTTAATACGTTGTGTGTCCCCTTTTGCAACATATTTAATCAAAGTGTCCTTTGGGATTTTACTCCAAATGTCTCTAATACACTCCCATAAAGTTTCTGTGGAAGTAACTTTTGATTTGTCAAGTTTTTGATCTATCAAATCCCAGATCTGCTCAATTGGGTTCAGATCGGGCTCTGTGGAGGCCATTGCTTCATTTGAATGACTTAAGCAGCTTCTTTCTTAGCTAAGTAATTTCTGCATAGGTTTGATGAGTGTTTGGGTCATTATATTTTTGGTAGTAGAGTCCTCTACCAATAATACACAAACCACTAGGTATAACATGATGGATCAGTATCTGATGGTACTTGTGCTGATCCATTATTCCATCTATTTTGCAAATATCTCCTGTCACCTCAACAGAAAAAACACCCCAACCTAATGCTTCATGGTAGGTACTATGCATTGTGGTAAGTATCTTTCACCTTTCTTCCGCCAAACGTATAACCTACGCTTTGAACCAAATATTTCATAACACCCTTTTCCAATTCATCAACAGCCCACTTTTTGTACTTTTTATCAAATTTCAATCTCTTGACAGTATTTGAAGATCGAAGTAAATGTTTTTTAACTGCTACACGACCAAATATTCCATTCTCGTCGAGTCTTGTTGATACTGTAGATCTGAACACTTTTCAGTTGGTACATGGTCGTTTATCTCATGCTTGAGATCAGTGGCAGTCCCGAAGGCTGCATAAACGAAGATACTTAACATCAGTATCATTGAGTTTAGGTGTTCTGCCTCTTCCTTTCCTATTTTCAAATTTGCCTGTCTCGGTCTCACGATCTAGAGTGATTTGACAAGTCTGCAGCAATTTGTCGGAGAGTCCAACCAGCATCACTCTCTGCTCTACTCATAATTCTCTACGCTTTTTGGGCCGTGGCATGACAACAAAACTTAATGTACACAGCGTGGTCACAAATAAATAGAC